ATGTCTGGAGTATTTTGCGGTTTTTTTAGTTAAGGTTGCAACAACACGGGTATAATAATATGACTGTGTTATGAAATGCCCCCTTTTATAAAGATGGCTTGATTTAGGGGCACCTGGGTGGCTCAGTGAGTTAAAGCCTCTGCCTTTGGCTCAGGTCATGATCCTGGGATCCTGGGATAGAGCCCTGCATCGGGCTCTCTGCTCAGCAGGGAGGGAGCCTGCTTCCTCCTCTCTCTGCCTGGCTCTCTGCCTTCTTGTGATCTCCGTCTGTCAAATAAATAAATAAAATCTTAAAAAAAAAAAAAAGATGGCTTGATTTATACCAAGTTCATTTCCTAGGTGTCTCACTAGAGACAGAGAAGACAGTTAATTACTGGCTCTGCAGAGTGGTGGTCACCAATGAATCACAAACCCTGCTTCACAGTAATGCTGTTTAAGGAGGAAAAGTGAATTCCACAAATGGAGGATGCAGGAAGGTCTTCCCAGTTGTGTATTTCTGAAAGACTTTTGAACAATTTCAAGCAAAACTGCAGAAATCAGCCTAGGATACAACTTTCCAAGGTAGGGTTTTAACGATTGTGTATCATACAAAGGTGGGTGTGCTCATGTGCTCTAGGAAGAAAACCATAGAAGTAGACAGCAGGGTCCTTATTCACTGACAGTGAAAAGGGTTTTAGGTAGTCCTGATAGTGAAAGACCTCACAGTTTTACCGTTCTAAAGCCACTGGTTTTCACCATCAATCCAAATGCCCCTGCACCAACTGCTGATGCTTGAGATACATGATATAATCATGTTGTAAGGGTGCCTGGGTGGCTCAGTGGGTTGAACCTCTGCCTTCGGCTTGGGTCATGATCTTGGGGTCCTGGGATCGAGCCCCATGTTGGGCTCTCTGCTCAGCAGGGGGCCTGCTTCCCCCTCTCTCGCTGCCTGCTGCTCTGCCTACTTGTAATCTCTCTCTCTGTCAAATAAATAAATAAATAAACAAAAATCTTTTTTTTAAAAATCAGGTTGCAATATAAATTAAGACCGATTGGTACACTGCCACACCTGCCAGTAAGAAATGTTGAAGGGTATCTGATACACTGGTAGTGTGGAACCGTGGAAGTGATTTAAAAAAAAAAAAAACCCTTTATTAATTTGAGAGAGAGAGTGGTATGAGTGAAAACCTTGGTAGATATCAAAAATATATGTCAGTTATCATCTTATTGGCTCAGCTTCAGATTCATCCTTTCATCTCTGTGAAAATGGAGCTGGGCCCTTTAAGTATTTTTCTTTGTAGCTGACAGCATGTTAAGCTTTCTTAGTAGAGGGGGCTGGAGAGACACTGCAGGAGGAAAGGGTCCTGTCTTTGCTTCCAGTGTGTTCACTTGGCAGGCTCCTTGACATCCACCATCTTAGTGGAAGAGGCTTTGCACACTTTCCAGCTTCTGCAGCACTGGCAGCTTCTCCAACATCAGGCTCATGGAGCATAGGCAGTATCTCCAGGGTCCAGCCCCCAGCACACAAGTCCTCAGCATTTAACTCCTGTACAGCATAGTGGCCAGTAGCACCCAGCCATCAGCAGCTTCCCCCAGCAACCTTCTCAGGCAGTACTGTAGTGGCATGCCCCTGGTGCCATACCTCGTCCAAAAGATTGCCCCAGGAACCTAGAGGATGGATTTCTGGCAAGATCCTCCAGTAAGTTCTGGATCTCTGTCCTATGGGATAAGGGAGCTATTCTTCGAGGGCTCTATCTAAGCTGCTCCTTGTATCTGTTATTCCCATATTTTTTAGAGTTCTCTTTATTTCTTACTAGGCAATCTCTCATTATGCCAAATCCCTACTAACTATTATCATAGTTAATAATTCACTATATTAAATTTTCCCTGTTCAAATTGCCACGTGGCTTCTTTCTCTTGACTGGACCCAGACTGTTACAAACCCCTGGAAACAAAATAAACAGAAAACACCTTTTCAACTTGAAGGTAGCTTACTGGGCACTTGAGAAAGGCAGAAGTTTCCATGACAAAAAAGTGTTTACTCATACAGGAATAAAATATAGGGGCACCTGGGTGATACAGTTGGTTAAGTGTCTGACTCTAGATTTTGGCTCAGGTCGTGATCTCATGGATTGTGAGAGCGAGCCCCACACTGAGCCCTGCATTCAGTGGGGAGTGTGCTTGAGATTCTCTCTCTCTGTCTCCCTCTGCCCTTCCCCCGCAAATAAGTAAATAAATCCTCAAAAAAAAAAAAAAAGAAAATACAGTATACAAAGAAATGGAAATGATTTACACATCTGGGGTTTAGATGACTGAGCAAAGTAAGAGCATGGAGTTTTTTTTTTTAAATGCTTTTATACAAACAGTTCAAATAATCATAACCATATTTGTTTACTTTTGGATAAGCAAGATGTATACCTGTTATTATGTTAGGAGGGTCTCTGCAATGCCCTTAAGTTTGGCTTATTCAAAAGTTAAATTCAGGAGAATCAGACAACCGAATGACTTACAAGCATTCCTTTCTCTGGTAAGATGACTCTTGGCTGGTTCTGTGGGACCCCATTAAGGTCCTTGGACCTGTCCAGCCTATATCACTATGAATACATTTATATGAAGTATCTAGAATAGGCAAATCCATAGAGACAGAAATGAGATTAGAGGTTACCAGCAGGTTGCAGAGAAGGAGAAATGGGAAGTTATTGCTTAATGAGTACAGAGTTTCTATTTGGCACAACATTGTGCTACAGAATTGTACACTTGAAGATGGTTAAAATGGCAAATTTTATTATATTACCACAATAAAAATAAAAGGTGTAGAGATTGGCTAAGCATTTACTAATAAATATACTATGTTGTTATTCTGCGTGGGGGAGAGAGAGAGATGATATTTAACAACCAAATGTAATCTGTACTCCTTAGTTGACTCTAGCTTTCTAAATAAAAAGCAATCAAAGATATTCTTAGGATAGTGAGGACAATTAAATACAGACAGAACATTAGATGTTATCATGAAATTGCTAATTTTCTTAGGTACAATAATAGTGCTATGGTTATATAAGAGAATTTCATATTCCTAGGAGATAGTTATTTTAGTGTTTAAGGGCAAAGCGTTATAACATCTGTAACTTGCAAATAGTGATGCCAAAAAAGGTGTGTGGTAGGGGGCAGTGTATGGGTGTGCCTGCCCACGTATGTGCAGAGAGAGTAAGAGAGAGAAAGCATACGTGACAAAATTTTAACAATCATCAAATCTAGGTAGAGGATATACAGGTGTTCATTGTACCCTTCTGTAATTTTTTATTTAAATATTTTCGTAATAATACGTTAGAAGCAAAGTAACATTTTGAAAGTCACACCATTGTATCTCCCAGAAATACTCCTGTTAACATGTTGTTTTAAATCCTTTTTGTCTGGGGCCCCTGGGTGGGTCAGTGGGTGAAGCCTCTGCCTTCGGCTCAGGTCATGATCTCGGGGTCCTGGGATCCAGTCCCGCATTGGGCTCTCTGCTCAGCATGGAGCCTGCTTCCCCCCTCTCTCTTCCTGCCTCTCTGCCTACCTGTGATCTCTCTCCGTCAAATAAATTAAAAAAAAAAAAATCCTTTTTGTCTTTTTTTTCTATGCAAAGATAAGTATTCCTTACACAATACACACACACAAAAGCAAGGGATCAAATGTACATTGGTCCATGTTCATTTATTCAGTCAAGTTAATTAACAAATGTTTGTTTAAGTATATCTTCCAGAGACCAGGGACATACACGAATTTTAGAAGATCTCTGAGTTTTCACAGAATATACCCTAAGAATTCATTGTGCCTCATTCATTACAACTACAGTTCATAAAAATCTTATGAGCAGACAGATGAAAATATTTGTGAGGTTTTAGTAATTGCATTATGATCCTCATCATGAAATAGCATTCCATCAACATAATAAAGTTGGCATTTTTTATTTTTGCTGTTCTTTCATTTCACAAGTATTTACTGTCTACAATGTTCAGTGTCAGGTGCTGCAGGGAGGTATGTAAGATACCAACTGCCTGCCCTTCTGAAGCTCACTCTGACACAGGATTGTAAATGCATTACTATGGGGATCAAAAGGGAAGGGAGTGGGGGCATAGAGAATGGATTCCTGATTTACCAGCAGGGTCTTCCAGAGGAGGTTCTTGGAGGAAATGACTTTTAAATTTAGATTTTTAAGAATGAACGGGAGTTAGACTCATACACTAGTTCCGAACACAAACGGGCTTTGGGGTGTTTGATAGTCCTTGGACAAGTTGCTTAACCTCTCTGTGCCTCAGGGATGATGTTGTAAAGCTCCAGTAACAAACTGCTTAGATCCCTGTCTGGAACAAAAGAGCTAAATTTATTGAGTACTCATTATTGCAATTTTTAAAAAAGATTTTATTTATTTATCGGACAGCAAGAGAGGGAACACAAGCAGAGGGAGTGGGAGAGGGAGAAGCAGGCTTCCTGCTGATCAGGGAGCCCCATGCAGGGCTGGATCCTAGGACCCTGGCATCATGACCTGAGCGGAAGGCAGACGCTTAACGACTGAGCCACCCAGGTGCCCCTAATTATTGCAATTTACAAAGAGTTATAATGTACCAGGCTTCATGCCTAGGCCAGAGCCAGAAACAAGACAAACCCTGTACCCAGCCTAGGAGTCTCTTCCCAACAGCTTGCCCTCCACGTTATTTTATACCCCAATAGCCTCTCCTGCAAATATAAAATGTTCATTTCCTAAAAAGCTTATGCTTTTTGTTTCTCCACGTTTTCGCCATCTACACTTGAGCTGAGGCACTTCTCCGAGGGCTCCGAGTGAAATCGGGGTGCTACAAGAGAAACCAAGAGCCCCAGCACCCAAAGGGCAGGGTGGAGAGCCTAAGGCCCAGCAGACAACACCAGTTGCCCCTGCCCCCTCGCTCCCCTGCGAGCGCACCCGCCAGCACGCCCCACTTTGATTGGTCCGTTCTTCCGGCTCGCCGGCATCACTCTGTCCAATCGGAGCAGCGCTTGTTGAGCGGCGGCGGCAACCGGCGTATACAGAGTTTGCGCATCCTGTGCAGAGAGCGAGAGGTCAGGCCATGAACCTGGGGTAAGCTGGGCCGAGAAGGGTGGTCTTTAGCGAAGATGGGATTAAAGCCGGGTTGCCCCCTTGGAGCCTTTTGTGGAACACCTTCGCGGCTTGCACCGCATTCAGCGGCTTTGCCTGGCTTCCCGAGGCGGAGAGGGGATAGGGGCCCGGGACGGCCTTTGCCACCGCCGTCGCTTTTCCACATCGTAACTCGGAGTACATCTGCCCGGGACCTCTTTCCGCCCTGTCACTGACCTCGGGGTGGTGACGGGGAAGAGACGATAAGCGGAGAGGGCAGATGGAGAGATAAAGCTTAGCGGCTTCCTGGGAGAAATCCTGGCACAGGCCCCCAGTACTTAGCGCCTCTGGCTTTGGTGTCTTTTCAGGCTGTCGGAGCGCCCAGATGAGTTTAACCCCCGGAATGCTAGGAACCGGGTCTTAAGGGATCCATGCCCTGCCAGTGCTTGGCTCCTGATAGACCCTCATTAAGTAGCGGTTGAGTAAAAAGGACTGTTGCAGGGTTTTCATCACTGGGAAGTTTAATATTTAAAAAAAAAAAAGGTACCAAATTCAGACTGTTGCACGTCATTTAGCAAATGAATTTTGCGTTCTAGAATGTGGAGAGAGAGAAGACATCAGCCTCTGAAGGAGTTTACAGTGCAGTAATGCTGAACAGACAGACTTTTCGGGTTCATTCTTTTGTTTGTTCAGTTTCACTGACGTAAACTTAAACTGTTCTAACCCTGCCTCAGGGAAACCTTTAAAACCCATTTTTTCCCCAGTATTTTATCTTGACAAATTAAGTTGGGGTATTTTGATGTCCTCTACTGAGTAGCCCTGCAAATTTCGTTCTTGCCAGTCAGACCTTTCCCATCCTTTCTCTTCTTTGGCCCGCTGGATTTAATTCTGTCTCTTGGACAGCACTTTTGTCTCAATTGATGGTTAGTGATACCCCCCCCCCCCCCACTTAGGAAACAGTGAATTAAATGTGAACTATTTTTGTTTTCAGTGGTTTTGATTAGAATCTTACGTTGAAGTTTCCTTGGCAGTGTCTGCTGTTACTTTGTGCTTTTGCATTGAACATGCACAAATAAATTAGAGCAGCCAAAGTTTATTACAGATTTGTTGTTGTGATAGTAACGAACTGTCAGTATGCTAAAAAAGTTAATAATCCTGGTGGCAGTGTTACAGTTCACTTTCAAAGCTGTAGCATGCCATAGAATGCGTTAGTCATGAGATCATTATGAAACTGGTAAACAGATACATTTTCCTCCTTTAAGGTAGGTGGGGAGTTTTGGTAACAGCATTTTTATTTTTTCCAGTCTAGAGTTGTAAGATTTAAATAATGCTATGATGATTGAATTGTTGCTTACCAGTAAGAAAATGAAGTTGCATGTTAAAGATAACAATGCTTTGCATTATTGGAAAGTTTCAGGAATTTTCTCCCTCTAGTGTTTAGTTTTATCTTGGATTGGATTCTTTTTATTAAAAGAATGGCTTACTATTTACAAGATTCCTGTATAAATTCAAAAGAACATATTTACTTTCAAGATTCAAATGAGCCTTTCATTTCTATTTAAAATGTTGCTGCTTCTTAAAAATGACAACTTTCTTTTATTTTGCAGAGATGGTTTAAAGCTTGAAACTGAATTGTTGGATGGAAAAACCAAGTTAATATTATCTCCATATGGTATGCTGTGTTATCAGAATCTAAAATGTTAATTTTAAATTCCTAGATAAAATTTATATGAGTTTAATATACTTTTTCCTTATAATAGAGTAATATTTAAGTGGTACTTTGCGGAAAGCTGTTTGGCTAACTTTCTCAGATTTATTTTTAGCCAAGTAAAGTCAGATTACATCACTGCTTACCACTGTCAGTATTTATTCATAAAACTTAATGTTTCAGTATATATTATGTTTAATATGTTGCCTAATGAATAATTTAGATGAAATCTATGTAATTATGTTCTGTACATGTAAAATGTGTTGTTATAGAAAATTAAATTTGTAGTAAGACCACAGTTGCTAAAGTTTTTAGTTTTAATTTTAAAACTCCGTATACTTTGGTAGTCCTCTTTTCTTTTTCTCTGATCTGTTTATAGTTCTACCTTGGAAAATAAACAGAAATGAAATAGAAATACTTGCACTACACTCTAAAAGTTAGAATACTCAGGACCTAAAGTTAATGCTTTGGGGGTTAATATTTCTACTAAATATCTTCTTAAAACAATGTTAATAAAAATTTTCTTTTATGACTGCCTTAGTATGTTTTTGTTTGATAGTTCAGTAATTATTGTTTTCTTTTGTAGAATGTAAATCAAAAAATTCTGTGAAGGTAAGCCAAATGAACTGACATGTTCTTGAATGTAAAATGTAGTTTTTTTTTGTTTTTTTTTTTTTTACAGTGGTTTGAAAATAATTCCTGTCAGTATATTATAAGGGATATGAGATAATGATGAGAAGTTATTGTTCTCTTGCTTTCAGGCTGGTCCTTTCACAGAAATGGGATCATAATTTTTCAGTTTAAAAAGTCATACAGAACCTCTTTCTCTAGGTCAGTGCTGGCTAATAAATCTTTTTGTGATGATGGAAATGTTCTAAGATTAGTGTTTTCCAAGATGGTAACCAGTCACTAGTCATGTGTAGTTACCGAACACTTAAAATGTGGCTAGTGTAACTAAGGAAGTGAATTATTAATTTTGTTTAATTTTTAATGTAGATTTAGTAGTTATTATGCAGTGCATATAACATTAACTCAGTGCAGTTCCTGAGATCTTTAAAAATATATATTCACACTTTAAAATGAAAACATTTTTCTTTTCATACTCAAATTCCATTTTTCCACACCAGAATGGTGAATTTGATTCACAAATTCATACATGCATTTTGCTTTCTCCTTTAAGAGATCATACTTGAACTTAATGATAATTTTCCTTTTAAATTATTTTTATCAGCAACCCACAATGCCTTTACCACTTTAACAACTTTTTGATATCCTACTTTTCTTATTCCCTATTTCTTTTTCCATTTTTAGATTAGTATCAGCAGAAATTTCAACTCCCCCCAAATTCACTATTGTCCTCTTTTTTCTTTTATCTTTGTAGCATCTTAAAGTCTTACTTTGCGTTTCTTGAATAGAGCTCAGTTTGGATGGTGTACTTTTCATCTCTAAGCTCTTGATGGCTTTGCTATTTTTTCCAGGTTTAATCAAGGTGAAGTTGCTTGAGTATCCAGCATAAGTGGGTGATGATAATCAGAGTAATTCCACATGCTACCTGTAAAAGTTACTTCTTTCTAAATATGGTATATAGCTATATACCTTGTCTGCTTTTTTTTAGTCACAATACAAATTGTATAATTTTTCCTGGTCCTGCACTATTTTTTTTTTTAAATATTTTAAGATTTTAGGGCCCCTGGGTGGGTCAGTGAGTTAAAGCCTCTGCCTTCGGCTCAGGTCATGATCCCAGGGTTCTGGGATCGAGCCCCTCATCGGGCTCTCTGCTCGGCAGGGAGTCTGCTTCCTCCTCTCTCTCTCTCTGCCTGCCTCTCTGCCTACTTGTGATCTCTGTCTGTCAAATAAATAAAATCTTTAAAAAATATATATATATATTATAAAAAAGATTTTAAAATTTATTTTAGTGGGGGGCACAGAGGGAGAGGAGACTTAGCCGTCTCCACAGTGAGTGCAGAGCACCACTTGAAGCTCTAGGCTCCATCTCCGGACCTTGAGATCATGACCTTATCTGAAACCAAGAGTTGGATGCTTAACTGACTGTGCCACCCAGGCACCACAGGTCCTGCTCTATTAAAATACTGCAACTAATTATTTTATTTGAGTCACATTAGCAAATACTGCACCCCTTTTTGAGATGTTAGATAAAAAGCTGCTTGTCATAGTTGATTTCCATCTTCCCCTGATCTCTTCTCTTTCACTTTTCCCCTCCTTCCATTTATGTCTTTAACGGATTTGCTGTAGCCACCACATTTGTGAAGACATTTCAGTCTTTTTAACCAACTTAGAACATATGATGGTTTCTGATAAAATCATTACAAGATTTTGCTAGTCGTCTAGAAATATTTTTTTCTAGGATTCTTTTTTCCAAAATAATGTGTCTCAGCCGATGTTATCTTAAATTATTTACTCTCTTAGAGCAAATTGTTTGGTTTTGTTCCTCTTGCTTTGGGGACTTCAGAATACTGATGATGGTAACTATGTGAGGTGATGGATATGTTAATTCGCTTGATTGTGACTATTTCACAGTGTATGCATATATCAAATCAAGTTGTACACTTTTTAAATATATACAAATTTTAATTGTCAATTATACCTTAATAAAGCTGGAAAAAATTACTGATGGAACCTAAGTCTCCCTTCTATATTGATTCTATTTTAAGTAGCTTCTCTTCCCGTATTTATAGGGGTTGGTAAGATCCTCCTCATTTTTTTCTTTGCTCTTTACAGAAGACCAAAAAAAACCAAAAAGAGTAGTGCTTATCTTTTTTTGCTTAAATCTGTTTTTCAGTCTCCCAGATCTCAGTTATCCAGCTATATGTTAGATTCTCTTTTCCATAAGTTACTGGTGGATTTTCATAGTGCTTTTCTTTTTCTGCTGGGAGAAGTTCCTGAGTGACTGCAGCACCTGTCCGCGTTTGTGGTTTCCCTTCCTCACAGGTTGAAGTACTGTCATTGTCAGTGTCTTCTTTAAACACGACTGAACTCGCATCATCAAGTTAAACACGTGTGGTCAGAGTACTTTCTTAATTTTTTCAAAATCCCTTCTGCATTTTTTTGAATCTGTGTAAGGAGTATAAAGTAAAAATGGTTACCAGCTCAATTTCTTAAGCTTATAGGAGGAGAAATGAAAGAAATATTAATGATTCAGTGTCATGAGTAATTTACAAATTCCAAACGCTTATGCATTTGTCTCACAAATTAGTTGAAATATTAAACATTTAAAATTTTTTTCCACAGGTATTTCTACATGTGAGAACCAGAGTAGTGACATACTAAAGGGTGTATAGAGTATTAGTGTTAGGTAGCATATTTTATAATTTAAAATGTTACTTTTCTCTGGTTCTTTCTGGCCTTGGATCCTGGCCCCATATAAATGGTAAACTCAGCCAATATTAAACAGATGCTTTGGACTTTGTTTATATTATGAAAAATATTGGTAGAATTAAAACTAGTTAAAAGAGCCAGCTTGCTACATAAAAATGTTTGAGACATGAAGACTATTCTTCGATCTGTTAAAATTCATCTGATCCAGTAAGCGCTTGGGGAATTATTTGGGCTAGATTGCTTTGTCTTATGAAGTAACCTGAATATGATTGAATATTTATTTGGTAGGTCATGATTTTTTGCTGGCTCCATTCATTTTTTTTTTCCCCCTGCTGTTTAGCTACAAAAATTATCAGGGGCTGCCTGGGCGGCTCAATCATTGAAGCATCCCACTCTTGGTTTTGGTTCAGGTCATGGTGTCAGTGTTGTGAGATCAAGCCCTGCTCTGAGCTGGGTGTGGACCCTCCTTGGGATTCTCCCTCTCCCTTTCCCGGGCCCCGCCCCCCAAAAAGTAATCAGACTTGAGCTGAATATGTATGGATCTCATGCCAGATCATTGCCCTTTTCCCCCTTCTTATTAAATATTTTTAGAAGATTTTTTTTTTTTTTTGTATATTTTTTTCTCTTGTAAGTGGAATGTGGTGGGATAATTCTACTTAAATTAGAACTCCAGTTAGTAGGTTTCTATTTAACAAGGATTTATTAAAGCTGTAAAATTTTAGTGGAGTGCCGTTCTTGTCTGTATTTCTTCTGTGACTGAGAGGGAAAAATGAGTAAAGCCTAGGCCTTATTTTCTGAATGTGGGGTTATCAGTCAGGTAAATAACTATACAATAAAGTAGAATATAATGTATGCCATGGTAGGGCTATAAAAGGCAGAGAACACTGCAAAGAGCATCTCTTTGTAGTTTGTGGGGACCAGGGAAAGCTTTGTAAAAGGAGGTGACATTTTAATTAGAACTTAAAAGGTGAGGCAGATATTTATAAGTAAGTAGGTATGGGAGTATATTCTAACCTTAGAAAATAGCAAAACACCAAGATAGCATAATTTGCATCTGGGGAATAGTGGGTATCTTGGGGGAAGTGTAGAACATAAAGCTTGGAGGGAAGGGAATCTTACAGAGTTTAGATGTGTACTCAGTTTGAACTTCCTTGATTTATGTATAGGAGCATTAAAGAATTTTTGAAAAGAAGTCCATACAGTATAATTTGTGTTGTAGGAAAGGGCTTCAGACAGTGTGGTGAAGGACAGATTATAATGGGGAGACTAGTCATGGACCAGTTACAGTTCAAGGAGAGTCTTAGGTATTCCTGAATATGTGTAGTGGTTAGTGAAATGGGAAAAAAGGGACAGAAATGAGAGACTTTCAGGATATGTTAATGGTATGCATTGTACTTATTAGTAGTTTGAATGAGCAACTGATTAGAGATATGAAATGTTCAACTATCAGTGACCAAAAAAAGCCCAGTGTGAATCAGAGAAAGGTGACATCACAGTAGCTGTAGTTAGAGACTGAGGAGGTAGGGCTCAGCTGTGTAAGCTATATGCAATCTGCTGATAATTTGCTTAATCCACATAGTGGTTTCCAAAAACTAGAGTGAACTATCTAAAAATTGGAAAATTTAATGTAAATCTGCTTTTTTGGTTCTCTTGAAATATTGGGTAATCTAGTAAGTAGACTAAAATTCCTCTTTGGAGGTGTAGGCTGGTTCTGAGTTGTGGCTGCCTCCTTTAGATGGAAAAATGATTTTCAGCTCATTCCAGTTCCTACCAAGCCTAATTTACAGTAGGTATTTGAGGTTCCCATCTTTCTTAGAGAATTAGTTGTATTAAAATAACCTCAGTGGCACCTGGTTGGCACAGCCAGTTTAGCACCCCACTCTTGGTTTTGGCTTGGTCATGACCTCAGAGCTGTGAGGTCAAGGCCTACGCTGGGCTCTGTGTTCATTGAGGAGTCTGCTTGAGACTCCCTCTCTCCCTCCACCTCGATCCCTCCCTTCTCTACTCTAAAGTAAATAAATAAATCTTAAAAAAAGCCATAAGTTGGGAGGGTAAAAAGGCATTTTCCATTGTGATACTGGTGTTATTAAAAGCCTAAGGCCAGGAACAAATAAGATGTAGATGAGATGAAGAGGAAAATAAGCAGATCTTGTGGCTGATAGTACAGGTACATTTTGAATAGTAGGGTGAAATGGGATTGGCTGTTGGTCTAAGTATGGTTATATATTTTGTAAGTTACAAAGGACAAGGAGAGTTGGGATGTAAGCTGGGTGAAAATCATGTGGCATCTACCTCACTCTCTGACGGCAAGTATGTTACTAATCTTTATCTAGCACTTTTCCATATTGGTGAGCACATAAAAAGCAACAGTGAATTTTGATTGAATGACCGTTGAATTATTTTAGTTTAATTGGGTTTGCCAAAATGTACAGCGAATTAAATAGAGGAAAGATATGAGATAGGCAGGGTGTAATCTAGTAATGTTGTAATGAAATCCTGAATTTAGGCTTATAATCCTGTAAATGGTGAGAAAAAGATATTTGGAAGGAAGAAATGACCAATACTTGTGCATAAGCTAAAGAAGTCCATGAAGGAGGATAAAGTTAAAGACGACTCCATGCTTACTGGTCTGAGAGATTAGAAAACAGTGCCACAGAAATGGGATATTTTGAAAGAGGGAACAAGTATGGGAGAGAAAGATAATTCAGTTTTTAAATGGTATAGTTGAGGATAATAAAAAATTTACTGAACACCTGCTCTGTTCCACTCAGTGTTCTGTACTGGGGTTATAGATGGCAGTGGACAAAGTATACAAAAATTTCTGCCCTAGGGAGTTTGCATTGGAAAAGGAGTAAGATGAAAAGTGGTATAGAGAAAAATAAAGGAGAGAAAGGGGGAGAGGCACACTACAGGTGCACAGTAGTCTTTGGAAAAGGGTATGCTAGGTAGATGAGAGTGTGAGAGAGTGTGAGAAACCTGCTACAACTACCCTCCCCCCCGAAAAAAAAAGAGGAAATCAACAATTTTAAATAGGATGGTCAGAGAAGACCTTACTGAATTAGTGATGTTGGTTGAGAGAAGACCTTACTGAGTTAGTGATGTTGGTTGAGTGCATGAACCATGTAGAATCTGAAGGAAGGGTGTCCCAGTTAGAGGGATTGATTAGTGTGCTAAGGCCTAAAACTGGAGTCCCTTATGAATACGAGGAATAGCCAAGAAGCCCATATGACTGGAGGCTGAGATAGAAGATGAGATCAGAGAGATCAGATAAGGGGATAAAGTGTGAAGAAAGCACAGATCATTAGGTCTGTTTTGGTTATTGTGTGAAGTTCAGCTTTCCCTCCTAAGTAAGATAGGAAACCATTAGAAAGTTTGAAGAAAGCGCATGATCTGACTTAACCTCTTAAGGTACTCACTGTGGCCGCTCTGTTGAGAACAGATTGGGGAGCAAGGGCAGAAGCAAGAAAATCTGAAGGCTTTTCAGTAATTCAGGCAAGAACTAATGTCTTCGGGTAGAGGGATGGTAAGAGTTTTTCAGGAGTGGTCAGATTTAGGATATATTTTGAAGATGGAGCAAAACAAGGTCTGATGAAAGTGTGGCATATGAGAGAATAGGTGATAATTCCAAAATTCTTGTCATGGGTAGGTGAGATGGGAAAAATGAAGGGAGAAAGTTATTTAGGGGCATGTGGGAGATCAAGAGTTTGGTTTTAGGCATGCTGTTTTAAATGGCTATTAATAACCCAGTGGAAGTGTTTGGATAGGGAGATGGAACCTCAAGTTAGGGGAGAGGTCCATTCTGGAGACAAATTTGGGAGTCATCAGCATATGGATAATACTTAGAACCACAAGGGTAAATGAAATTAACAAGTGAATGAGGCAAGTGAGAGCTAAGAGATTCTGGGACTAAGCAATTGTTAAGAGGTCTGGGGGAAAGGGAGCCAGCCAGTGAAGACTGAGAAGGAACAGCAAGAACCAGAATTGTGGAGTCCTCAGGAAATTAAGTAGAGAAAGTGATTCAAAATGGGAGGAATAATCAACGGTGTCACATGCTGCTAGTAAGTCTGGTAAGATGATCTGAAGAACAGTCACAATTTGCAATGTAGTTATTAATGACCTGGATGAGCAGTTTTGGTGGAATGGTGTTGTTGAAAGCTTGGCTGGAATGGGGTTGTGGGAGATGGAAAAGTAGTATCATGTATTTTTAAAGATGATAAAGATGTGATTTAGTAGGAAAGAAACAGTTGGTTCAGGAGAAAGCAAAGGATTGCTAGAGAAAGATCCCTGAGAAAGAAGGAATTAAAGGAGTATCTACAAGTAACAGGAGTATAAGCAGTTTGTATGAGTACTGATCCTGGTACAGATTTAGTGGTAGAAACTTGGAAATTTTTTCTGAATGCTTCTCTGTAAGATTTTCAGTGCAGTAGTATTCAAGATCTTCAGCTGAGAATTAGTATGAAAGGGAAAGTGTTAGTTTTGGGAAAGAGGAGAAAGTTGAAATTGTTAAAATTTTGAGTGAGAGAGTTAATGAATGAAATGTGTAACTACCAAGTAGCATGAAGGGCACAATTGTTTTGGGTTATATATTTAAGGTGAAACTAGATATTGTGGCTTTGTGTTTTTCTTCTTGAGTGCAGGCACAGAGTAGGTGAAGAGTTAGATTTTACCAGTCTGGGGATTTGCAAAGCATATATGTTAGAGCAGAGGAGTTGAGAATACAGGGTGATGGTGGTTTTGGTTAATCGTGGAATTTAAGATTGGTAAGGGAGGACAAGAGGAAGGTGGTAGGATAAATAGATCATAGATCCCAGCTGAGTTAAAGAATTATCAGAATTGGGATATGCAAGAAAAGTGAGCTGGGAAACATTGGGTGTTGGTCATTCTTGAAACAGATTATGGAGGGATTGTAGTTAGGAATAGTTACAAGGTTAGTATAATCTATCACTATGAGGATGAGTAGCTGAGGTAGCATGGAGGACAAGAATCTAGGAGCAGAGTTCAAGGAAATGAGAGGCCAGGAAATTGAAAGAATGATCTATGTGGATATGAAAGCACTAATAATTAAGATAGGAGTTATGTTAGAGGGACATTGACCCACAAGTTAAGTTATTCAAGAAATAACTAACCTACGTTACTAACTCACAGGTCTATAGATATCTATAAAGAAAAGAGGTGGTCTGAGTGACATATCATGACATGAGATTCAAAGTCAAAGTAGAATGGAGATGTCCTGTAACAACTAGAATAAAACTTCTGTATTCATTATGTTGAAATAAAATTGTAATTTCCAGTTGTTGATGAAGCTTTCAAGTGAAGATTTGGAAAGGTTAAATGTTAGTATCTCATGGAGATAGTGTCTTAACAGCAAAATGGAAAAAAGTTTAGAGGCCTGACGTCACAGATTATATAAAGATAATTGTTGATTTTTCATGGACTATTGTAAAGAATAAATTTTTGGTGTTTTAACAGATGGGAAATAAGACCAAGCTTGCAAAATGTCCTTTAAGAACAAAACAAACTGGATACATTCTCAAATCAACACAAAATACTTGTATCAGGAGTGGAAAACTTTTGCAAAAGAAGAGAATGGGTTCAGAAACTTCACTGGCAAAAGGCGAAAAAAATAGTATGACTTTTTCACCCACTAAGGATTTATGTAAGCAGTGTATAGATAAAGACTGTCTTTATGTCCAGAAAGAGAGTTCACCTGCAGCCCCCAATATACAGAAGACTAGAAACACCATAAATACATCTGTAGTAGCTAAACAGAAGCTTTGCAAAAAACACATCACAGCTGAAAATATGAAGAGCAGTTTGGTGTGTCTAACACAAGACCAACTACAACAGATTTTGATGACTGTGAACCAAGGAAATAGATCTGTTTCCCTGATTGAAAATGGAAAGGAAGAAAAAAGTAAGGTTTTTCTGAAGTTTTAATTAATATTAATTTTACCAGTATGTGTTTTAGAATTTCTCATTCTTTGGATTTTACATAACTGTGCCTCTGAAATTCTAATTTACCACGTAGCAGTCTTTTAAAATATTCTTTTAGAGAATATTCTCATGCAAAATTACTTTTATAGCTGTAATATGCCATATTTTAAGGTTAATGCTCAGAATATTACAATCATGTTACAATAGCTTTAAGAAACCCAGTTCTGTGGATTCTAAAGATACTAAAGATCTTAGTACAAAAAGATGTTGTACTTATTCCGAAATGTAGAAAGCTTTACTTACATTAAAAATAATTACATAGGGGCACCTGGGTGGCTCAGTGGGTTAAGCCTCTGCCTTCGGCTCAGGTCATGATCTCAGGGTCCTTGGATCCAGCCCTGCATCAGGCTCTCTGCTCAGTGGGAAGCCTGCTTTCCCCTCTCTCTCTCTGCCTGCTGCTCTGCCTACTTGAGATCTCTCTCTCTCTCTGTCAAATAAATAATAAAATCTTTAAAAAAATAATTATATAAAATGTTCTAAAAAATCAGTATAGTATTTCTAGTGAAAATTGGAGAAACCTTATTTTGAATATTTGACTTGAGTTGCTTAAAAGGATTATTTTCCTGGCCCCTGCGTTGTACTTTTCCTGACCCTTAATCCCTGCTAAGCATTGGCAGCACTGTCTTTTTAACCAATATAAAATACAGACTTGGGGGACGCCTGGGTGGCTCAGTGGGTTAAGCCTTTGCCTTCGGCTCAGGTCATGATCTCAGGGTCCTGGGATTGAGTCCCCATCGGGCTCTCTGCTCAACGGGGAACCTCCCCGCCCCCCCCCCCACCTGCCTCTCTGTCTACTTGTGATCTCTGTCTGTCAAATAAATAAAATCTTAAAAAGAAAATATAGACTTGGAAGGAATAGAAGAATGTTACATGTCTTCTGTTTCATTAGCCAGAGCATTGTATTATGTTTTTAAAAGCCTTCTGATTTCTTTAGTGTTGTTGAGCTAAGGAATTAATATGAATAGAAACATCATTAAAATTTTGTTAGGCAATAATGAAATAAATAAAAATAACATTAACAGTCACCAGGAGGAGGTCCACAATGATCTGGGGACTAGGTAGCTTCTGTATATTCCCAAGGTGTTCAAGTTGAAGTAATTTGTCTTGGTTTAGATTATTCTTTGTAAAATGAGGGAGCTGGGTCTTTAAAGCTAGAATTGTAGCCTAGAGAACAAAAGATAACAACTTAAAGCATGTAATGAGAGAGAATGTCAACAAAGTTGAAGGTAGAATTTGTCTAATCATACAGTGACCTGCATATTAAATATACTTTCTCCTCGGAGCGCTCAGTGGATTAATAAGCCTCTGCCTTCGGCTCAGGTCATGATCTCAGGGTCCTGGCATCGAGTCCCACATCGGGCTCTCTGCTCAGCGAGGAGCTTGCTTCCTGCTCCCCCGCCCCCACCTGCTTGTGATCTCTCTGTCAAATAAATAAATAAAATCTTTAAAAAATATATATGTGTATATATATATATACTTTCTCCTCATTGGGAAAACTAGCACATTAAGAAGAACTAGAACAATTTCTGAGTCAAGAATAGGAGCCTATATGAAATATTTGGAATAGATATAATGGAGGTATAGAGATGGTTTTTCATTGATTTTCCAGCTAAATGAGAAAAATAAAGACAAGGTGATGAGTTTTTCATAAACCTATTTGCATTTATTCTTTAAGTTCTGATTTGTGTTTTATATTATTCTTTAAGTTCTGATTTGTGTTTTATACTATTGGTAAAAATACTGTTAGCAAGAGTAAATAGAAGATTTTTGTTGTTGTTTGTTTTCATATTGGACACATGAGGTTATACAGCAATGGTCGTATCACTGGACCTTTTAACCTCTGGGCTCAGTTTCCTTTTTTGACAAAAGGGAATCATAATACCCACTAAAGGACTGCTGTGAGAGGTGATTACTTTGTTAATGTGTAAGGCAGTGTTTCTAAAGTGTGTAGCAGTATGCCAAAATAAGGTATTGTAATACATGCGATTTTAGTGTTCATTTTAAAACCTGCATTTTTACCCCCTAGGTCATGGCAATCTACATTTAAACGATATTTCCAATCAGCCAGAGGATGAGAACATTATGGGAGTATTCCAGAAAACTGAGACGCTTTCATCTCTCCTAGATGAAAATAAATCTGTTTTAAGTACAAATCAAGAGACATCTAAGCAGTATGAGCAGAAAATTGCCATGTATGTAACTCATATCTGTTATTGTGGAGTCGTCATGTGAAAATGGTTTTGCTTTTCTTTGAATTTCATGTGAAATTTTCAGTCTGAAGACTGAAAGCTATTTAAGTTTATTACGTAATATTTATGGAGTAGCTTGTATAGAAACAAGATTTCTGTTATTTTTTTGTGTTGTTTTAGAGAGAATGTTTGGAAACCAGCTGACATATTCAGTACTCTGGGGGAAAGAGAACGTGACAGAAGCTTGTTGGAAGCAAAAAAAGCCCAGTGGAGAAAAGAGCTTGGTAGATAATTGTTATACATTTTATTATTGTTTTGTTGCCTTAAGGAGTATATATTAAGGTTGAAATAGGTTTTTTCAGTATGATTTTATAAAAAAATTTTGTTTTATAACATTTACCATCTAGACTAATTTGTTGCAATATGTAGAAAGTGTTGTGGTTTTATATTCCTTTAGGTTGTGACTTTTGTCTGGTAGTCTCTTGGTGTGTACTAGAAGACCAGAGGTGAGCAATAAGCCTTAATGTCATCAGTATCATTCTGGAGCTCAAAGATTCCTAAACTTTTCTCATTTCTTGAGAATCCATTTTCATATTTCTCCATTGTAGAAATCCTATGGATTTAAAGATGGTTTGATTTAAAAATAGAGTTCATTCTTTAAAATAAAACATTCTGACCAAGAATCATTAAAGATTCTTGCTTTTTTTTAGCCAAAGACCTTGTAACAGAAAAATTTATCTTTTCTATTAAGAGTCTTAAAATATTGATAGTAACTAAGAAACTCTTGCTTCTTCTTGGACTAAACTTATGGTCTGCATGTCAGAATTTGGAAAATATGTGAAGTAACAGTTGTACTTCCTTTTTTTTTTTTTTTTTTTTTTTTAAAGATTTTATTTATTTGAGAGAGAATGAGTGAGAGAGAGCTTGAGAGAGAAGGTCAGAGGGAGAAGTAGACTCCCCGAGGAGCTGGGAGCCTGATGCGGGACTCGATCCTGGAAGTCCGGGATCATGACCTGAGCTGAAGGCAGTCGCTCAACCAACTGAGCCACCCAGGCGCCCCAACAGTTGTACTTCTTAAGAATAACTGTACTAAAAGCATAAAAATGGGCTTTACCCTCCATTCAAGTAGGAAATCCTATGAGGCAGTCATAACACTGTGAAGACAGGTGATAGAAAAAAAGAGATAAGCAGAAGAAAACAGGCATGAATTCGTGTTGGAAGTCAAGGTAACAGAGAAGTTTGAAGAAATTAAATGTAGCAGTATCTGAAGGTTTGGAGATTTGATGTGTGTATATCATACTTTCAGTTTTAAATATTTTCTTTGAATACAAATTTTGCTTATCAAACTGTAATACCAAACTTCTGAAGTTGGATGGAACTACTTGGAAATGACTGAAGTGTTTTATGCTTTATTATGTAAAAAATTTACTTTCTTATATTTGATCCTGTTTAAAAACTGATCTCTCTTTTTGTTGAAGTAACGCTTTCATTAATATTCTTGAAATTTAAGTTTATACATCTCCGAATTTTTAAGAACTACTGATGCTTTCAGGCCTAGTTTTTATATCAGTTTGTTAAACACAAGATTTTGGTTTTTTTACTCTTCAGCAGTTATGAATAACAGAGGCTAATATTTATTACATATTACTTTGAGCTAGACCCTAGCTCACATTTTACAGAAGAAACTGAATTTTAAGAATGCTAATAGCAATTTGCCCACAGTTGCATAGCTAGGAAGTGGTTGGATTTGATTCTAGGATCCTTGATTTTTATTGCTAATTATAATAAACATTTTATAGCCATTGTGCTATACTTAAGTTTGGTTCTGGTTAAATGTTTTTTTCCATATCTCTTAAAATTCTTCTCTGTCTTGTGAGTTAATCTCCTTAAAAAACAATTTTGATTAGATCTGTATTGGAATCTCCGCTCTTTAAGAAGGTCATGATTTGTTTACATGATTTGTTTTTTACAGTTTTTTTACATTTTTTTAAAAAGGACATTATTTACAGATGAACAGGTTGCTTTAAAGAAGAAAGAAAAAGAAGCTTCTGAGAAATGGAACAATCCTTGGAAAAAATTTGACAGTGATAAAATAGTATGGGAAAAATTTCAAATTCTTGACCAGCCTAAGGTAAGAGTATCAAAATGAAGCATTTATGGAATATAAGACATCTTAATTTTACTTTTTAAAATGCTAAGCCATATTTATATCATAAAGCTTTTTAAAAATTATCTTTCCTATGTTACTGTAAAACAATGTTGTATTTTGAATTTAATTATGACCTCATCTAGTATCTATTTGCATTCTATAAATTGTCTTACTATGTAGGTAATTGTAGAGGCCTGAGGCACCTTGTTTAGGCTCTTGTAAAAGAGCTCTGCAAGTTTTTAGATGACCACGAAACTCTTACACTGACCATGTGGTATCTGCCACAAGGTTATATCAAACATAAGTGATTGCTTATCAAGCATAAGTATACACCAGGTGTCCCTTAGGTAGTGTTTTAGTGACCTTTAAGTTGTGTCTGTGCTTAATATTACACAGAGAAAAAGTACCCTTGTTTTCTCTTTTAGACTTGTGCTAGCTCTTCCAGCATTCTGTCACAGTCTCCCAGTCAGATAACAGTGGTCCAGACTGATGGGCACCCACTACCTAGAGCTAGTCAGATTTTAGAGGTAAGTCATAGGTGTCACTACTTTGAATATATAAGCCCATTAATACTTGATCTTTATATTACCTATTTTCCTTGAAAGAGTGGACCTTAATACTCTCATTTTTAATTATTGGTTAATTTTTACTGAATGCACTATGCTCCTTAAATTTAAAAAAGTTATGAACTGTTTCTTTTATATGCATATAGTAATTGTTCCTTCCTAGTGAACACTTGCTTTTAACAAATGTATTCTGAAAATAGTATAGTAACCTAAAGGGAATGATTCTGACGGGAGACATTTTCAGCACTGGTAGATTTGTTATAGAATCCCTCCAAGTTAGATTGTTTGTATGGCTTTCATGGCTGTTTGTTCTGCTCTATATAGAGCTGACTGCCTATATCATAGAGTTTTATAGTTGTTGATAATTGCAATAAATTAGCCTTGATAGAAGACATTTTGCAAAAATCTACAGTTCTGGATGATAGGTTTTTTTTTGTTGTTGTTGTTATGGAGGATAAGTTTTTTTAAAGTGGGGGAGCAGCAGAGGTAGAGGGAGAGAGTATCTTCAGCAAGCTTCACTCTCATCACTCTGAGATCCTGACCCAAGCCAAAATCAAGAGTTGGACACTTAACTGAGTGAGCCATTCAGGCACCCCTGCGTGATAATTTTAAGTGTAAAGTTTAAAATTTAATGCATGCAAATACTACTAAAAACTGCAGCTAAAACTATTCATGAAGTTGGTAGGAATCAGTTGTTAGTTTATTTACATTTCAACATTAAGATTGAAGAATCTTTAATACTAAAGATACTAAGGTATTTTCAGTTTGCAAAAAAGTTTATGTTGAAATGTTAGTATATTATTTATTGCTTAATTTGCACTATTTTTAAGGTTATTATGTGTGAGTAATTCATAGTATGATTGCTAAAACAAATAGCCATTTGAGGCTATTTTTAGGTGTTTTTACATTTTGTATATATTTTTAAATGCTAGCATGCATCTTTTTTTATAATACAAAAAAACCAATAAAATTATTTATATTTTGCCATAGAGATGGGAGTTGGGGATGGGAGAAAGACTAAAAAGTAAAATACACACTAAATGTAAGGCTGGACAACCTGTGGTTAAAGAATATGATTATCTACTCACCCTCATAGTATTTAAATATAGTTTTTATGCATTTTTATATGCATGTGGTAAGATATTGGAGAGATGCTATTGAGGGGAAGTGAATTTAACTGTGTAACTAAAAACCCCCCCTTCTTAAATGTCTGAAAACAGTTGGTTTCAGAAATCCAAGCCATAGCCAGAACTATTTATATTATTTGAATATCAAGTTAAACTTTTCATGTAATTAAGAGGAGCAGAAATTTGGTTACAGGCAGAATCACCAAGGCCAATTTTGTTAAAACACAAGGTAGTGCATATAAAGTGCTTAGAACAGTGACTGACAAATAGCAAGTGTTTGATGAAGGTTTACTCTATTTATAACTTAACAAAGCAGATCCATTTGGGGCTATGAGACTGTTACGGGTCTGTCATCTCAACAGCTTTCCTTCCTCTCTTTTCTTGATTGTCAGTCTTACACGTCCTCCCCCAGTGGAATGGCCCTGTATTCTCCCTATATTGTTCAGCCCAAACATTCTTTTATACTGCGTAATTTTGAACTATTCTGTGTTTAAGTTTCTTATTGCTATCACCATACCACAGTTCTGCATTTGGCCAGTAAAAAATTCTATTTTCATTCCTTTTGTTTTTTTAAATTTTATTTACTTATTTGACAGAGAGACAGAGTGACAAAGGGAGTATAAGAATGCAGAGTGGGAGAGGGAGAAGCAGGCTTCCCACCGAGCAGGGAGTCTGATGTGGGGCTCGATCCCAGGACCCTGGGATCATGACCTGAGCCAAAGGCAGATGCCTAATGACTGAGCCACCTAGGCGCCCCCTATTTTTATTCCTTTTCACCCTTTATTTTTTTATTGTGGCAAAAGATACATAACATAGAATTTACCATTTTAATAATTTTTAAATGTGCCGTATTGCGAGATTAAGTACATTCACATTGTCAGGCAACCATTACCACTGTCCACCTCCAGAATTTTTTCATCTCTGCAGACTGAAACTGTATCTATTAAACATTCCCCATTTCTGCCTCCCCCCCGACTGCTGGAAACCATTCTAATTTGCCTGTGATTTTGACTATTCTGAATAACTTTAAGTAGAATTATGTAATATTTGCCTTTTGGTGTCTGACAAAGTTCACTTATCTTAATGTTTTCAGGGTTCATCCATGTTCTACACTGTATCAGAATTTCATTCCTTTTTAAGGCTAAATAATATTTCATTGTATTTATAACAATTGCATTTTGTTTATCCATCCAGATGTTGATGGACATTTGAATTGTTACCTCTTTTTGGCTACTGTGGAATAACGCTGCTATGAACATTATGTATAATCTTTTTGAGGCTTTGTTCTTAGTACTTTCGGCTATATACCCATAAGTGGAATTGTTGGATCCTATGGTATTTTATATTTAATTTTTTGGTTAAACTTTTATCAATTTTCTTTTCTATTTAAGAAGAGGGAGAAAAAAAAGAGAGTTTTTGTGGGGTGCCTGGGTGGGTCTTTTGGTTAAGCATCTGCCTTGGGCTCAAGTCATGATCCCAGGAACCCCGGATCGAGTCCCACATTGGGCTCCCTGCTCAGCGGGGAGCCTGCTTCTCCTTCTTCCACTCTCCCTACTTGTACTCTCTCTCTGTCAAGTAAATAAATAAAATCTTTAAAAAAATCTTTGTTTTTTTGAGAGAGACCACATGCAAGCTCGTAGGGTATGAGGGGGAGCGTGGAGAGTGGAGGAGCAGAGGCAGAAAGAGAGAATCTTAAGCAGGCTCCACACCCATTTTGGAGCCACATGTGGGTCTTGATCTCATGACCCTGAGATCATGACCTGAGCTGAAGTCAAGAGTTGGAGGCTTAACTGACTGAGCCACCCAGGCACCCCAGACGTTTACCAATTTTCATTGATAATTTTATGTTTAACTACTGTTCTCTTTTCCATAGTTCCTACACTATTGTACATTTCCATCAGCAGTGCACAAAGGTTCTCATTTCTCCACATTCTCATCAACTTTTTGTTTTTAAATAATAGATGACTTCTAATAGGTGTGAAGTAGTAGTAGCTCTTTGTAGTGTTGATTTACATTTCCTTTAATAATTTGTAATGTTGAAGATTTTTTTCATAGCTTATTGGCTATCTCTGTATGTTCTTTGGAGAAGTATCTGTAAGTTTTTTTGCCCATTGAAAAAAATTTTTTTTTCCATTGTTATAGGCATTCTTTTTTCTTTTTCTTTTTTTTTTTTTTAATTTTTATTTCTATACGTGGGAGAGCATGAGAGGGGAGAGGGTCAGAGGGAGAAGCAGATTCCCCGCTGAGCAGGGAGCCCAACGCGGGACTCTCATCCTGGGACTCCAGGATCATGACCTGAGCCCAGTGCTGTCACTTAACCAACTGACCCAGGCGCCCTGAGTTGTAGGCATTCTTTATAAATTTTGCATACCTATTCAGATATATTATTTGCAAATATTTTGTATCATGCTTCATTTTACCTTTTCATTTGCTTGATAGAGCCCTTTGATGCACAAAAGCTTTTAATTTTGATGAAGTCCATTTTATGTTTTTGTTTTTGTTTTTTTCCTTTGTTGCCTGTGCTTTTGGTATCCTGTCTAATGAATCATTGCCAAATCTGATAGGGAGCTTTTCTATGTTTTCTTCTAAGAGTTTTAAGAGTTTTATAGTTTCAGCTCTTATGTTTAGGTCTTTGATCCATTTAGAGTTATTTTTTGTATGTAATATAAGAAACAGGATGTTTTTTCTTTTCCATATTTTGCATTTATATCCAGTTTGCTCTGCCATTTGTTTGAAAAGATTGTTCTTTCCCAGTTGAATGGTCTTGGCACATTTGTCAAAAATCATTTGACTGTTTATGGGAGTATTTAATTCTGGGCTGTCCATTCTAGTCCATTGTTCTGTATGTCTCTTTATGTCATTGTCTCACTGTTTTAATTATCATACCTTTGTAGTAGGTTTTAAAAGCATTAATTCTCCAGTTTTTGTTCTTTTTCAAGATGGTTGTAGCTATTCAGGGTTTCTTGAGATACCATAGGAATCTTAGGGTAGATTTTTTCATTTCTGCAAAATACAGCAAGTTTTTCATAGAGGTTTCTTTGAATCTGTAGATTGCTCTAGGTGATCTTTTTTTTTTTTTTTAAAGATTTTATTTATTTATTTGACAGATGGAGATTACAAGTAGGCAGAGAGAGAAGGGGGGAAGCAGACTCCCTGCTGAGCAAAGAGCCCGATGTGGGGCTCGATCCCAGGACCCTGGGATCATGACCTGAGCTGAAGGCAGAGGCTTAACTCACTGAGCCACCCAGGCGCCCCTGCTCTAGGTGATCTTGACAATACTGTCTTTTGATTCATGGACGCAGTATCTTTCCATTTATTTGTGACTTCTTTAATGTCTTTTAGCAATGTTTTGTAGTTTCCCATGTACACAACTTGTTGCCTACTTATTCCTAGGCATTTTATTCTTTTTGGTGCTATTACACATGGAATTGCTTTCCTCATTTCCTTTTCCCAGATTGTTCATCATTAGTATATAGAAATATGATTAGTTTTTCTGTGTTTGTTTTGTATCCTGCAACTTTGCTGTATTTGTTTATTTCTAACATTTTATTTCTTGTGTAGAATCTTGAGGGTGATGATTATTTTATGGCACATGAACTTGTGGATCTTTCTGGGTAATATGTATGAATAATTTCCTTTTTCGACTTTTACTTTGAGTAAAAAATACTATGTAGTATTTCTGGCATGCAAAAGGATATAAAGGATAATACAAAACACATTTCTACCCATGTCCTGTACCAGAAACAGCACATTATAGTATAGTATAGTTTAGAGTTCATGAATTTTTATGGATTTCTATCAGTAGTGGGACAAGCTTTTTTTTTTTTAAGATTT